TACATAAAATACAAATTTCATACAAAACATAGAAAAAATCACTTCTTCTCATATATGTGGCATCCAAGACTTATCCACTACACAAGTTTAACAAAGTCTCTAGCCAAAAACTCTCAGAGAAGAGGTACACTACTTGGTTATTACTACTACATAACCCATAAAACTGATTTCATGATGGCTAAAATTCTACTGAGCGGTGAGACATGTAATCCTCACACTTTATTAACACTATGCACCACCCCTTGAGTAACTAGCATACAGATGCCAATAGGTGGCAGTAAATAGCAGTATACGTGCACACTAACAAAAATAACTGCAGGTGGCCTGCTTTTCTAGTTTAACAATGTTTGGAGATAGCGAGGTGCATTTCTTCCCATGAGAAAATCCTAACACTCCTGTGGAGTAGAAGCATCAATCCATCTACAGTGTGAGAATCCAGGGCAGTTCATGAAATTACATTTCTTTCTTTTCCTTCCAGAACTCAGGTCGCTAAATTTCAGCTCCACAAAAGAAGGCTGTGGTGCTTCCACAGCACCATTCAATTTCACAGAACTAAAGACCAATTTTCTAACCAAACTCAGAAGCTTAGAACAACGTTTTGATGAGAAGAGAACAGCCAGTCTCCAAAAAGTGGAAGAACAACTATTCAGAATAGAAAGAAAATTAGATGGGCTACAAAATGAAAGAGGTAGATATGCAAAACAAATCAATATGACATCAGAAAAAAACCGTAAGATTCATAAACAAAAGCCTCCAGTCAAAACATGTTTGAGCAAAGTAGTGAGGAAGCTTCTGACTTTAGTTATTGCAAACTTAATGTCATGCTTCCACAGAAGAATCTCTGTGACTGGGGTTCAGACAACCAACTAAGCCCAAACCGAACATACTACAGAAGTACATGTGTGAACCCAACCAATATCAAGCAACATTATTTCTCTGAGAATTAAATACATTTTACAGCCTAATGCAATATACAATATTTTGTTGTTTAGTCGTTAAGTCGTGTCCGACTCTTCGTGACCCCATGAACCATATCACGCCAGGCCTTCCTGTCCTTCACTGCCTCCCTACTACAGAAGTACATGTGTGAACCCAACCAATATCAAGCAACATTATTTCTCTGAGAATTAAATACATTTTACAGCCTAATGCAATATACAATATTTTGTTGTTTAGTCGTTAAGTCGTGTCCGACTCTTCGTGACCCCATGAACCATATCACGCCAGGCCTTCCTGTCCTTCACTGCCTCCCTGCGTTTGCTCAGTTTCATGCTCATTGCTTCAGTGATGCTATCTAACCATCTCATCCTCTGCCGTCCTCTTCTCCTTTTGCCTTCAGTCTTTCCCAGCATCAGGGTCTTCTCCAAAGAGATCTGTGTTCGCATTAGGTGACCAAAGTATCTGAGCTTGAGCTTCATTATCGATCCTTCCAATGAGCAATCAGGGTTGAAATATACAATATACAGTGATACATTTAGTTGTTTCAGGTAGCTTACATGGCTCTATTTCTACAAAGGACAGAGGAATTGATGTAACTTTTCATTCAAAAACACATTATCTCTTTGTTTTAAAAAATATCTCTGTGAGTGACTTGGTTCATAGCCTCTTCAAAGACATTATGTGGTTTGCACTGTCAAGATCTTCCATGTGGTGCTCAGATTGCTCCATTAATCCCCTCCACACTCCATGTCCCATCTGATTTCTTGCTTGTTTGTTTGCTTGTTTGCACCTATTCTTTGAATGGGCTTCCCCTGTGTGAACCCATGTGAACCAAAATCTCTTGAAGCATCTAATTTTGCATGCTGTATGAACCTAGCCACAAATAAGTTTAAAGTGAATCACGGCTTCGTGAAAGGTATAAACTTAGCTTCAATGTGCTGTCAGATTCTATGAGCATGAATTTGTAAGATTCACTCTCCTAGACAGTATCTCAAGGGCCTTGGAAATACCTACGGGTCTTATGTCAGAGCTCTGAACTTGGAAGAGAGAAAAGGGCAGGGAGGGAAAAAAAAAAGCTGTAGGGGAATTGCACTTGATAGAGCAAGGGAAGTTTGTGATGCAAGGTATCCAGGTCCTTCCCAGATCTTTGTTATGTCCTCCACCTTTGGTCCAACAAACAAAGCAGGACAGAAAAACAATGGTAGAACTAATGGTGAGAAGAGCTACAAGTGTTAAATCTTCCTCTCTTTCACCCTACCAGGATGTACCATCCAGCACTGAAACACTCCGATGGTGAAGTACTATTGAATTATCATTTTGATTTTTTTGGTATATACATTGAAACGATTAGAGTATGTCTCTTTCTAGCACAGGATGCTGATCAATGAAATGTAGCTGCAATCAGGGACCATTTGGAATGAAAAGGAAACTATTTGTAATCTGATTCAGCATCTGTACGTAGGTTACACAGAAGGAGATTATTGATTTATTTAGTAAATTTATATGGCCACCCATCTCACACACAGAGTGACTCTGGGTGGCATACAACCATCAAATATATAAAAACAATAGTTAAAAAGCAGTCATTATTAAAAAATACAACCATCCAGTACAGGAGAGAGTAGATTAAACACAACACTAGAGCCAGGTTTAATTTAATTTCTGTCTCCAGTGGAGCCAGGGTGAAGAGAGCTCTCTGAGAGAGCTGTGGGGGAAAACCTTCCATCATGTTGGAATATGTATGTGTTGTGAAGGTAGACTGCAAACTGCAGATTGCAAACTCAAAGGGAAGGAAAGTACGTTGACTAGAAAACCACTGCCCCACAGTGTTCTCCTTGCTGGGCCCCTGGAACAAGGGGACTGTGGCTTCTTGAATAGGTGGGGGGAATCCTGCCGAAAGAAGAACATACCCTGAGAAAAGTTCTACCTTTTTCCACAGCTATTCAGAGGAGGAAGAAAAGGATAAGCCATGCGGAGGGCAATTCTATGAATCCCACTGTGGAAATCCATGTCTCCTAAGAGCCAGAGCAGAAGCCCCAAGTTTAAGTTCTTAAGCTTGTAGTTAAATTTTTCTTTCATTAAGGATTGAAGGCAGACTCATCCAGTGTTTTCAGACTTGTCGCTCCAGAGGTTTCTAATAGCTGAAAGGTAATTAAGCAATTTCCGAATGTGATTAGAAAAGGAAGTATGCAAACTTAGTGTCCTTTTAAAGGCGTTGACCATGGTTTGAGCAAGATGGCTATTCCCTCGTCTCCCAGTGCCGGAGACCGCTATCTTGTAGTTTCCTTGTGAGGAGCAACTGTCTGGAGCGCTTGTGGGCGATCTCTGGTCCTCTCCTTTATTCGAGGAGGTTTGAAGAGTTGGTCTACTTGCCAGCTCTTTGTTCTTTGCCATGGTTGTCAGCTCCACTTTTCACAGAGCCATCTTCACTCTGCCATTTCTTCCTCCGGAAGTCTCTGCCCCCATTTTTAAAACAATTCTTCTGTACAACTTTCCTGTTTCAGATACTTGCTGGCGGAGATTTCAGACAAATAGCTACTACTTCTGTCACACTGCAGAAAAATGGGAGATGGCAAGAAAAAAATGTGCTGATGTTGACTCCCACCTGCTCATTATTAACAGCAAGAAAGAGCAGGTAAATTGTACACATTCCTGCAAAGAATAGCTTTGTTCTTTCTTTGTATACCTTCTTTGTAGTACAACTTCCTCATCTTAACCTTTTCTCACTGCCTGCCTCTTGTGCAGAATCTGAAAAGAGAAACCAAGTATCAGCACCTTGGTCAACAGTAACTATTATTTAAAAACTTGGCCTTGTGCCGTGCTCATATATAAGTACATGCCAAGTAAAAATATTACTAAGGCTACTGTTTTCATTTAAGCAGGAGTTCCATAGATCAGGAGTAATACTGTTTTCTCCTTGGCTCTCTTAACAGCCCAACACTGGTTTGTGTTCATATTGATACACTGAACCACAAACTAGCTAACTACATTTTAGCCTTGTGCATTGTGAAAATCAGTTTGGGCTGTTAACCTATAGCTCAGTTTACGTTGGGTTAACTGAATCAACCGTGCTTCAGTTAATCATCATGGGGAGGCAACCACAGTCTCTTCTTCCTCTTGTCACGCTGCTATTCCCAGTTTCTGCTTTTATTGCTGAACTTCACATACATTGTTCTGCTGGAGGCAGCCATAGCTCTGGATGTTCCTCCCAGAACTCTGTTGACAGTGGTGCTCATGTGCTGCATAGTCAGCCATGTCCTTATCCATCATGGACTATAATGTTCAAGATAAAGTACCACATAGCGCTCTGCATCTTACAGTTTGCAGGGTGGATCTTGCCTCATCTGAAGTTTGCTGCAATCCCACCTGAGCAAAGAGAGCAGATGTGCCAAGTAGGGATAGACAATTTGGCAGCATCCAGATGTTTTGAATGACTTGAAGTTGAGGTTCAAAACATGTGGATACTTCAAGATTATCTTCCCCAACTGTACATATTTATCTGCTGAGTAAGCCTCATCTTTCCAGTAAAAGGTTATAGCTAAGGGTTAAATAATGCATCAGGGGAAGACTCCCTTATTTGATTTTACTTTTATTTCAGATTCTTTTTTTTTTTTAGGGAAGCTGGTGCGTTGCAAAACAAAACACTGGAATCTAATACCATTTTTATTGACCTAAAAACCTCTGGGCCCTATTGGCTTTCTCCAAAAATAAAAACAGTCGGCAGTTACAGGGGCTTGTTTAAACACTTGTTTCACCTGCCTAGAAAGACAACAAAGGTCAGCTGTAGCAATATGAAGACTAGCTTGGGTGGGAGGAAGCAATCTTACCAATTTCCCTTCTGATAAATTTAGGGCTCTTCAATCTGGACAATCGTTAGATGGCAGCCAAGAGTTGGAGTTTGCTATATCTCTTTGCTGCCATTTAATGCACATCTAGATTTTTTCCACTACAGAAATGATACCCTAGATAAATGGGCATTTTATGACTGGCCACATTCAACCATATGGTGAACAGCAAGCTCTCCCACCCCATGGTAGCAGTTGTGTGGGCACGCCCATGGTACACTTCCCAGGGTGCCCATTTGCCCAAAATAGAAGCCTAAGTGGGGGGGGGGAGGAGCAGCAGAAAGCAACTGTTCAAAATAAACATTCAGCAGAATGAGTAAATAGAAGTTATTTATACTTTTTCATCCTAAAAGTTCTAAAATAAAAAAAGGACATAATTTAACTTCAAAATTAAAATACATCTTGCAAAATAAGGAATTATTCCATTAACTGAATTTTCCTTGAAAGTCAGAATGGGGGCTGCTAAACCTGTATTTTCTTGGGAGTAATCGGAATCTGTGTTGCTAGGAATCAGTGGATCCAAAGCCACCCTTTTTCCATCTCTCTCCACCACCACCCTTTTCTTCATTCAGTAGGCTACTGGAAGAGGGAGAAGTGGTTCTTGCCAGAGATAAGGACTAATAGCTTACAGAGGGTTTTAAGGTGGTGGATACAAATTATGAACCCCTGCTGTAAAATATTATTACTTATCAAAAACTGCCAGGGCAAAAATCTTGGTAGTTACTAAGGCACTTTCTTGCAGTGTTACCTGGGACTTGTTTTAGTTGTTGGTCTCCAAGGTAGTGGACAGGGTGCTCTCTAAGCTGTTGTCTGCCACCTGCTTTTTTGGACTTCTGCTCATCTTGGCTGCTAAGGAGAGGTAACCACCTGGATTCAGGAGACTGTCAACACCTCCTTGCAGGAGGGAAAGTCACCAGTAGTTTTGAAAGAGTTTGTGGTGAGCCTCCTTCTGAAGGGCCTGTCTCTGGTTTCCAGGTTTTGGATAACTACCATCCAGTCTCCAAACTCCCCTTTTTAGGAAAGGTTGTCAAGGCAGTGGTGGTGGACCATCTTTGCAATGCCCTGGATGAGGCAGATTATTTGAATCCTTTTCTGTCAGGGTTCAGGCTCCAGAATGGGATGGAGACAGCATTGGTTGGTCTCTCAGTGACCTGTGTCAGGACTTGGACAGAGATAGTGTCCCCCTACTTGTCCTTTTGGGCTTCTCAGTGACTTTTGATACCATCAAACATGGTATCTAACTGGACTATTGGGTTGGGGATTGAAGGCACTGTTTTGCAGTGCTTCTGCTTCTTCCTCAATGGGCAGTTTCAGTCAAAGGTAGTGCAGGATGAGAACTCAGCTCATTGGCGTAAGACATATGGGGTGCCACAGGGATTTGTCCTCCCTCCCCTGCCTTTTAATATCTATATGAAGCCTTGCATGAGGTCATCCAGGAGCTTAGAGTCCACTATCATCAATACAGTATACTAATGATACTCAATTTTACATCACCACCCCAGGCTGTAGGGGCAATGTTGCCAATGTCCTATGTGAGGGTTTGGATGGAAAAGACAGAAGTTGTATCCATGTAAGATGGAGCTGCTGTTTGCACATCAGGTTTCGCTGTCAACTGCACTGTTGACCTGCCTATAGTAATTCATGCCTTCATCACCACCTAGTTGGACTACTGCAATGCGTTTTACATGGGACTGCTCCCAAAGACTATGTGGAAACTGCAACTGATAACTGATCCAGAATGTGGCAGCTCACCTAATTACTAGGTCCCAGCGATGGAAGCACATAATATTGATTTTGTGGGCATGTGGTGGTTTCCAGTGTCCAGGGACTATTTAAGGTGCTTCAGTACAGCCCAAGCCAAGCAGGACCAAAGTTAGAAGGCACTGCTTTTCTGTGGCAGAACCAATGCTCTAGAATGGCCTCCCAATAGAGATCAAACTCATCCCCTCCCTGCAGGCTTTCAGGAAATTATTGAAAATGGAACTATTCTGGAAGCATTCTCTTAATTTAAGCATTGCACCACTTTTATTTTTTATTTCTGTTTGTTTCTTGTCATCATTGAGGCTTTCTCACAAAAAATGCTAGATTGTGGTGTGGTGGAAGGAAGGAAGGAAGGAAGGAAGGAAAGGAAGGAAGGAAGGAAGGAAGGAAGGAAGGAAGGAAGATAAATAGGCAAACTGCAGATTATACTTGCATGACATTTGAACAGAGATGTTTCCCCCTAGGATTTTGTGATTCAGAACATAGAATACTCCATCTGGCTTGGCTTAAATGATGCAGAGGAAGAGGGAACCTGGCGCTGGGTT